AAGGGGATGCGAAGGCGCGGGCTTGGGAGCATCGAGTCCTCAGATTGTCTTACGGAAGCAAGTTTGCCTAGAATGAAGGATGTCCCGACGCCTGTTCCCGCTGATGACCAAATCAGATGTCATTGATGTGACGCCACCTTCGAGAATCTCAGGTCACTGGATGCACACATACGTACGATTCATGTTTCTGATGCTGATCTCGGTGCGAGGCATGTCTCAAGTTTGTTCGTCGCGGAGCCTTTTGCTGCGGCGTGTCTCGCCCTGGCGGATGCCTTGCTTTGTCTACTATCTCTTCATCATGTTAACAAATTCAGGAGTTGACTCGGCAGGGGAGGTCATACTCTTACTCGGCGTTCCCTTCGTTTATCCTCCCCGGCCCCCTTCCCGAGTAGGCCTTCGCGATCCAGCGAAACTACCCCCCTGCTAAGTCCTCTAAGCATATTGCAGACACAGTCCAGTCCATCGCAGGGTGGAGCAGGCGAGTTCTGGCTGAATCTGAAGTAGGAGATCGCGACGTTATTGACCCTCTGCCCTCGGAGGTGGAGTGGCCCTTCGAAGCCAACGAGGTCCCGGGTCCTCTGACCGACGTGGTTCCAATAATTATTGCGGTCAGCGTCGTGACGGAGACATCCAACAGGCAGTGACAACTTCCCCACAGACGTATACGCCTTCCGTCGAACTCGTTGTCCCGTCTATCGACATCCTGATTGTTCGAATTGGGGGAGATGAACCTAGATCTGTGTCGGTACAATTGTGGGCTGAGCGCATCAAGGCAGGGAGGATAGCAGGGCTGGGGGGGGACCTCCTTGTGAGACGTGTCCTGTTCCGCGGTGGAGGGACGGAGGCCGCCCTAGGTCCTGGCAAACTCCGTGGGGCATCACGGCTTTCAAGCCGGCCCACAGGTCTCGAGCTTCGGCTCCCAAGCAGATCTGTTTGATCTATTTCGGGCGCATCTGGAGTTGCTCGCCACTATGGCTGCGGCTGAGGGTTGAGGTTGGCACGAGCACCCTGCCCCCCCTTTTTCTGGGAGCCAGGACACGTTCCGAGCTGGCAATTCTTGGAGGCCTAGAAATGGGCACCAACACCAACACAAGGGGCTGCCTCCACAGGGGGAAGACGGTCCTCGATTTCGGTGTTGGTGGCAATATTTCGGCCACCTTGGAAGCCAGAATATTACCACCATCACCGAGATCGGGATCTTCCTCCCTCGGTGGATGCACACCGCCGATATTGGTGTTGGTGTCAATCTCTAGGCCTGCGAAATTCGCTCCTCTCGAAGCGCTCCTGGCTATGCCAGCATCTAGCTTCACTGTTTTCGATCACTGCGAGTCTGGTCCATCATGTAGGGCCCCCGGAGGTCTGCTCGGAATTCGGCTCCCCAGCTCGCCCGACAAGCTCAAGGGTACCCCAGTGGGGTATCTGCTCTGCTCCCAGAGGCGCTAGATGGGACCCTGAGCTTAAGAGGTGGAGGAGCGCGCCCAAGAAGGTGTACCCAGTCAGGGCGCAACAGTTCGGGTGATTCGCGATGTTGAAGTCACGAGAATGGCGTTCTGGCACGATGCAATATCGTCTTGACTCGCGGCGTTTATTTCCAGGGAGTTGTGCTTCGGCACGATTGAGGACTCTCAGACGGTTATCTTCCAACGGAGACTTCCAGCAGTGAAAATGACTTCGTGTAGGGACCTATGGAGAGGGACTTTGGAGCGAGGGTTTATTGCAATACTGTTGATGCGCCTCGGGTTTGCACTGGTCCTCCCCCTCCTCCTCCTCCTCCTCCTCCTCCTCCTCCTCCTCCTCCTCCTCCTCATCATCATCATCATCATCATCATCATCATCATGATCATCATCATCATCATCATCATCATCATCATCATCATCATCATCATCATCATCATCATCATCATCATCATCATCACCCTCGATCCTCCTCTTGTCGCTGTCGCTGCTGGCAAAGCTGTCGATGATGATACTGCCACCTTGCTCCTCCCCCTCCTCCGCAAACTCTTCCTCGAATAACCTCGATCCTCCTTGGCAGGTGCTCCTCGGATCTGTTCCTCCTCCTCCTCCTCGAGCCTCATCATCATCCTCATCATCATCATCATCCTCATCATCATCCTCATCATCATCCTCATCCTCACCCTCATCCTCATCCTCCTCCTCCTCCTCCCCTCCTCCTCCTCCTCCTCCTCCTCCTCATCATCATCATCATCATCATCATCATCATCATCATCATCATCATCATCATCATCATCATTGTCATCATCCTCTTGACTTCACCGAGCCCCGCCGATCCTCACCCTCGACCCCCGCTCCCTGTCCTGCTCCCACTGCTTCTCCCCTCCCCCCTCCCCCCCAACTCCCCTATCCTGGTCGCCCCCCCCCCCCCTCCCCTATCCAGCGGGCCGCCAAGAATCCGTGACCACAGCCTGGGGGATCGAGGCTCGGGGGGCTTGGCGGCTAGCGGGTATGGACATGTTTGCCCCCCCCCCCTGGGCCAGCATGTATCAATACCCACCGCCTACCGAGGCCGCAGAAGCTCGATCTTCCAGGCGGATGGTTATGGGTAAGCACATCCACGCCTCGGAAACCCTCTGGCATGCAGGAACCAGGTTCAAAGGGAAACGGGCCCTGGACCCCAGGACCTTCCCTTGGATCAGCTCTTCATCCTGGGCCTTTTGGAGGCCTGGAGATTCGCACCAAACACCAACACAGGAGGTTTCCTCCACAGGGGTAAGGTGATCCTAGATGTTGTTGTGGGTGGTGACAGTTCGGTTACTTAGAGAACCCGAATGTTTTTCCACCATTGTCGAGATCGGGGGCATCTTGCCTCGGTGAAGGCACACCGCCGATCCTGGTGTTGGTTTCAACCTCCAGGCCTCCGAGCCCTTCTCTTGACGGCCCCGTGGCCCGCTCTGGACGCCCGAAACGGGCACGGAAAACATGGGCACAATGCCCAACAACAAATCTTGTCCCGAACCAACTGCGGCCGCTGTTGGGCAGGCGGCCTTCTGCCTCAAACGGACACGGGCCGCGGCGGCGCGGACGGCGAGTCCTGCTCAGAACGAACCGGAACTGTTGGGCATTGTACCCCTTCTTTCCGTACCCATTTCGTTCG